GCAGTCCGGGACCGGATCCAGTCCCAGGCAGCAGGCAAGCAGCTTCTGGCGTTGCCCACGAGGGCCTCGATGGGGGCTCACACTGGCGGCTCGCACTGTCCCACCCTGCCTGCAGTATGCAAATTAGCCACCATCTTTGTTGGTGGTTAATTTGCACATCTTGCTGATTAGCCAATGGGAGGCACAGTGAAGGTACGGTCAATTACCATGTTTGGTTATTGTTAGATAGGACTAGGGGTCCAGTACATGAATTCATGCACTGTGAAAGGAACTGTGGGCTGCGAGGCTGCAGTGGGCACTGGGTTGGGTCTTGGCCCATCCACCATGCCTCCATCCAGCCCCTCCCGCTGCAGCCTCCAGTTCCCTGTCTGCCAGCAGCCCCACTCCCGCCACCACCTCTCCCACGTGCTGACAGTGCCAGCCCCACTCGCATGTGCTGATAGCACAGAGCAATTGGGGCTGGCGCCAGCAGCAGGTGCAAGTGGGGTCAGCACCGGCAGCAGGTAGGAGCTGCAGCTTTAGTGCCCACAGTAGATCTGAGTGGGGCCAGCGCCAGCAACAGGTATAAGCACTCAGCAGGACTGTGAATTTTCAGTAACCACCAGAGGCTCGCCCCAATGACAGCAACTATTGCCCAACTTAGTATGGCACCCCTGCTCACCTGCTCCACCATTCCACCGCAGCCAATGCCTGCCATCTTCCACACTCTGCCTCCTGCTGCTGACATTCACCATGTTCTGTGTGTGTCCCCTGGTGGTCAGTGCACATCATAGCAACCGGTTGTTCAGTTGTTTGGTTGTTCGGTTGTTCCGCCGTTCTGTCTATTTGCATATTAGGCTTTATATATATATAAACATAATATGCAAAGTGTCCCCTCGAGAGTTTGACCGACTAGGAATTTGATTGCTTGCTGTGATGTGCGCTGACCATGAGGGGGTGGCGTGGAATGAAGGAAGGCCCAGGCCGGCAGCTGGCAGCCACTAGGGACCTTACCCCTGCATGAATTTAGTGCACTGGGCCTTTAGGATATAGATAATACTTCATTGTATGTATATACTGCATCTTGATTACTCACTTATCTGTTGATGGAGCCTTAGGTTGTTTCCACCTATTTCACAATGTTATGGCTATGAATATAAACTAGAGGCCCAGTGCATGAAATTCGTGCACTGGGGGGGGGGGGTCCCTCAGCCCAGCCTGTACCCTCTCCAATATGGGACCCCACAGGGGTTGGGCCTAAACCAGCAATTGGACATCCCTCTCACAATCTCGGACTACCAGCTTCCAACTGCTCACCTGCCTGCCTGCCTGATTGCCCCTAACTGCTTCTGCCTGCCAGCCTTATCACCCCCTAACCACACCCCTGCTAGCCTGATCGACGCCTAACTGCTCCCCTGCTGGCCCGGTCACCCCCAACTGCCCTCCCCTGCCAGCCTGGTTGCCCCAACTGCCCTCCCCTGCTGGCCTGGTCACTCCCAACTGCCCTCCCCTGCAGGCCTGGTTCCCCCCCAACTACCCTCCTCTGCTGGCCTCGTTACCCACAACTGCCCTCCCCTGCCGGCCATCTTGTGCCCACATTGGGGTGGCCATCTTGTGTGAGGGCGTGATGGTAAATTTGCATATTACCTCTTTATTATATAGGATTTACATGTGGAGTCTCTGCTTTCCATTCGTTAGGGTATATACCTAGGAGTGGAAATGCTGGATCATATGGTTATTTTATGTTCAACTTTTTCAGGGTAAAATATAATTCTTTTAAAAACAAATATAGTAGGACATGTCATGGATTTATATAACTCATTAATGAGGGAACCAGCAGAACACTAAAGTTGATTTAATGGAAGATTCAGGAGACTGCATTGAAAGAAAGAGTGCTGGAATTAGATTCCTAAATTTGATGCAGACTTACTGTTCCACGGGGCAATAAAGGCATACTTTTTGGGATTATCCTTAGACCTGACAGAAATCATTTGCATAATTTTTTGATTAATCAATCTTCTATAATTTATATAACTTTACAGAGTCTAGGCCCTAATAAAAGAAAATGACAATTCAAAGAATGTTACATTTTCCTGGAAAACCATTTAACTCTTAGGTGGGCTTGTTGGGAAATATTTTAGTAGGACACTGAAAGAGCAAACAGTGATCTTCTGACCTATGTACAATTGTTAAATAATTTTTTCTTAACTTTGTGTTTCCTTTCACTTTGTTTATAGCATATTTTACATTCACTTTTTAACAGTAGACCTCATTTTTAGAGCAGTTTTAGGTATACAGCAGAAAAAATTGAGCAGAAAGCATGGAATTCTCATATATACCCTGCTACTAAACATGCACAGTCTCCCCTACATCAAAATCCAGGACTGCTGGCTCCTAACCGCTTGCCTGCCTGCCCACCTGACTGTCCCTAACCACTTCTGCCTGCCAGCCTGATCACCCCCTATCTGCTCCCCTGCTGGCCTGATTGACACCTAACCACTCCCCTGCCAGCCTGATCACCCCCAACTGTCCTCCCCTGCTGGCCCCATTGCCCCCAACTGCCCTCCCCTGCCGTGACCTGCCTCCTTCATCATGACCCACCTCCTCTGCACTGGGACTGGCCTCCTCCGTACTGCGCAGAGGAGGAGTGACCCCAGGCCTCACTGCGCAAAGTGGCCGCCGTGTTCTGCCTCCTCTGTGCAAGCGGCCATCTTATGGCAGCCATCTTGTGACAACATCGTGTGTGAGGGTGTGAGGACCACCTAGACTTTTATTAGTCTAGATCAGTGGTCGGCAAACCATGGCTCGTGAGCCACATGTGTGGCTCTTCCACAAAATACCATGTGCAGGCGTGCACGTGCAGTGCGATTGAAACTTTGTGGCCTGTGCGCAGAAGTTGGTTTTCAGAAAGGAGATAGACAAAACAAGTATACAAGACGAGTGTGGATGTGAGAGTTGGAAGGGATCGACCTCATTGAATGTGCCTCAATCAGATTGAGGACATTTTTAGACCATCGTATCTCCTGGAAGGCTCACCATGTGGGGGAGATAAGCCTTTGTCTTGGACATATTTGAGTTAATTTCTGTAAGTTGTCACAATCAAATTCAGATATGAAGTAATCACTTAAGTTCCATTATGAATATTAAGATATGTGTATATTTTGAAAAAAAAAAGTCATGTAACTGTGCATGGGAGGTCTCCATTTTCTAGGGTTTTGGGGATTTCTTTACTCTCTCTTTGATTCCATGTTCATTTGATTGGGAAAATATTACCTTTTTTTTCCCAATGGTGCAGATGCGTTCAGTGTTAGCTTATATAATCCTTAATGTATTTGACTCTGGCATTCGAAAACCATCTGCTTATGATTTTTAAGAATCAATTCATATGTTGAAGTTTTTATAAACATCAAGTTTAGAGTAGCTGTTAAAGGTAGGTAAATGAAATTTTACTTCACTGTCTATAATTTGGTAAATGTTTGCAGTTATTATGTGTCTTATTTTCTCTAATTACTATACATTGTCTGAAGTTCATATGAAAGAGAAAGTAAATTCCCCAAGCTCCTCTAGAGTCATTGCTTATTGCTTATGCTTAATTTTCTGTTATACATTTATAAAGTGTGTGTCTACCTTTCCATATATGGAAATATATTAGGTCTTATTTAATATAAGATGAACTGTCATCTCTTTTTATTTAATTATTTGGATTTGGATTTGAAGTTTATTACCTAATTCATTTTGATTATGCTAAAGGCTATATATAGATAGAATAGTATTTTATGAATTTTGAGTGATTTAAAATAAGGAAGCTGAAGCCCAATACAATCTATACCTAGTACATTTTTGTACATATCTGAGTTCACTATATAAAATTAAAATCATGCCCTGGCTGGTGTGGCTCAGTGGGTTGAGTGTTGTCCCATGCACTGAAGGGTTGCCCAATGGATTCCTGGTCAGAGCACATAACCAGGTTTCCTGGCTGTTCCCTGGTCGGGGTGTGTGCATGAGGCAACCAGTCAATGTTTCTCTCTCACATCAATGTTTCTTTCTCCCTCTAAAATAAAATAAAATTTACTTTTAAAAAAATTATAAAAATTAAAATCAAAAGACCTGACCTTGATGCCTCAATGCTGAGTTTGACTGTATATACTAACAACCCAATTTGTGCCAAAACCTTATTTCAATAACAAATATATAATGTACTAAGTTATTAAATACGTTCCTAAGTTTACATATTCTTAAAATCTATGTCTCTTGATATAATTCAAATTTTTTTATAGAATTCAATTTTTACAAAGTTTTAAAATTAAAACATTTGGAGATGGGCCAAACCTCCCCCCGCCCCCGAAATATAATTAGCTATTGCTTAGTAGGTTTGAAAACATTTTTGTGCCATAGTTGAATATAACATAATATTTTGTATGTGCTTTTATCTGTTTTGCATCATCCAAATTTTATTTATCTCATTTTCTCTGTGTAATCATTTACATGTCTGATAGTTTTTCTTTTTCCTTCTGAGGAACATATTATATAATGTGTTATATAATATTCATAGTTATATACATATATTATTTTTATAGTTTGCTACTTAGTAAAAGACAAGTAGAAATATTTTCCTTTGGCTTCTTGTCTATTATTAACTAAAGTTTATTATGGTTTTTGGAAAGCATAATAATAATGTTTAGCAGTTCCCATGCTTTTATGATAACAATTCCTAACTAACTAGTAATTTGTATTTATATAAAGGTAAAGCAATTATTGGTAAAGTTATATTCTGATGTTTGAGCTAGCAAGTGCTGCGGAAATGTCTGTAGAGAGTAATTAAATAGACACAAGGGTCTTTTTGTACTGCTGATGGAGCTCTTTGTACTTAGTGACTGAGCTGTTTTGATCCTGGTTAATGTTAGAAGAGAAAGAATATTTCTGCTGCTAATCATTGAAGCCTTTTTAAATCCGCCACTGAATATGTTCTTAAAATTGGCAATAAACACACTCCTGCACACATTTTTTTTTCCTTTCCCTAGGACTACAGAGTTAATATCTTCCTGAGACAAAAATGGAACGATCCCAGGCTGAAGCTCCCCAGCGATTTTCGGGGCTCAGATGCCCTGACAGTGGATCCCACAATGTACAAGTGTCTGTGGAAACCTGATTTGTTTTTTGCAAATGAAAAAAGTGCCAATTTTCATGATGTAACCCAGGAGAATATCCTCCTCTTTATTTTTCGGGATGGAGATGTCCTTGTCAGCATGAGGTACTTTGATGTTTAATATTTGTACATTTATATTTTCCTTTTAAAATCAGCATGTCAGGGGGAAATATGTTAAATGACTTATACGACCTCTGTTTCTACTTTCAGGTTATCTATTACTCTTTCATGCCCATTGGACTTGACCTTGTTTCCCATGGATACACAACGCTGCAAAATGCAACTTGAGAGCTGTATGTAAAACGAAACCCTAAATGACTATAGGAATAAAAATATTTAAAATTTCTAGGCAGTGCATTCTACTATCTTAGATAGCAATGGTAAAAATGAAGGCTTTTGATTGCAAATAGTCATTAGAATAATTTATTTAAGGAAATTATTGTTAGTCTTTTACTATATTAATTTGTACTAAAACAAATCCTCTTGGTACTATACTGATTTTGTATTACAGTTAAATTGAAGTAGGTGTTCACTTCTAACTTATTCCAATTGCCATCTTCATTTGAAATAGTAATGTAGGCAAGATAAAGGAGAAAATGCTTTCCTAATAATTTTCTGATATTAAAACCACATTTTTAGAGCAGAAAATTTGAAAAACATGCAAAAATATTATTTAAATCCTCCCAAGCATTCATTTTTCTATGGGTGTATAAACATTATTATTATTATTATTATTTTACAAAATTGGATTCTCTATGTTTCTACGATCAGATATATTTCATATCATAAAACATGAAATAGGTGCACTAATTGAAATGGGTACCTCTAAAAATATTAATTTGCTAAAATATTTGACTTTTAAAAATAAAATTCAAAATATTAACACTAAGCCCTAGCCGGTTTGGCTCAGTGGATAGAGCGTCGGCCTGTGGACTGAAAGGTCCCAGATTCGATTCTAGTCAAGGGCATGTACCTGGGTTGCGGGCACATACCCAGTGGGTTGTGTGCAGGAGGCAGCTGATCAATGTTTCTCTCTCATCAATGTTTCTGACTATCCCTCTCCCTTCCTCTCTGTAAAAAAATCAATGAAATATATTTTTTAAAAAAAGAACTCACCCATGCATTTAAAAAAAATATAAACACTAATATAAGGAATCTTTAACCTGATTAGTTGTTTACCGTAACCTATTTCTGTGGAGAATAAACAATAATAACCTTGTAGGCAAGCATATGCTTGTTGGATGATATGTTTTAAAATTAATGATTATTAGCTATTTTTGTATTTAAGTTACTAAATCTGGATCTTAAATTTGAATATTTATTGCTTTCTAACTATAAAATAAGATTTTGCAGATGTTAGTATATATATGTCCATGTTGGTGTATGTATCACACATATGTGTGCTTGTGTATTTTCATTTAAAAACTCAACTATGTATTTATATTCCATTCTATTATCAGAAGAACTAAAATATTGCTTTAAAAATATATGCACTTTAGAGGTGAACGGTAGGTTACTATATGCTGTAAAGGCCCATATGATCCCTGAGTCGTGGCCACATTACTTAAGCCCAGAATCTGTGCTTCAGTATTCCACAATGATAGCCACTGGAGGGGGAGAGGTGTCGGGGGAGGATGGGATTGTTTTATTGCTCTCCTGTGGCAATGCAACCCCTTTAGGGAAGTTTGTAGTTACTTCTTAAAAATGTTTTGGTGCTTATATTTATTTTAAATTTTCCAGGTAGTATATTGCATAATTTGAAAGCTACTATCACTTATCTATTACTTTTTCTTATTGATGACATTGCAGAATTCTCACATAATGTATATGACCCTAGGATTTTATATATAATACTAGAGGCCCGGTGCACCAAAATTTGTGCACTCGGGGGAAGGGGGGGTCCCTCAGCCTGGCCTGTGCCCTCTCGCAGTCTGGGACCCCTCGGGAGATAACAACCTGCTGGCTTAGGACTGCTCCTGGGTGGCAGTGGGCAGGCCCAATCCCTAGGTGCAGCCCCTGGTCGGGCTCAGAGCAGGGCCCATTGGGGAGTTGGGGTGCCACCCCCTGTCATGCACAGAGCAGGGCGGATCGGGAGGTAGTGATGCCACCCCCAGTCACGC